GCTGTGAGTCGCCTTCGGGCTTGAGATACAGCGGTATATAAGCAAAGTAAATAAATAATAAATAATAAATAAGCCTCCCATAAGGATGGTAAAACATCAAAACAGCTGGGCATACCCTGGCAACGTTCATGGAGATGGACAATTCTCTCACACCAGAAGCGATTTGCAGTTTCTCAAGTCGCTCCTGACACCAAAAAAAATAATATGTATTTTACTAAGCTACCCTGAATGTGCATATTGCAGGAATGACTTGGGCACAGATACTGTGCAAATGAAAGCAGCTAAAAAGCATTCCACTACCTGTTGCTATTATTTCATAATTCCTCGGCCCAACATCCGCAAGGGTTTGTGATTTTCATATTCTTCCTTTCCTGACAAAAGTGAAACCTCCAACCCTCAAGAGAGTAGCAGTGGGTTGGAACTATCTGTAGATGGCAGGGTTTGCTTATCTTAAAACCTGTTCTAGGTGGTAGATCAATATTATTATTTCCTCCCTGAATATTATTTCCATGTTTTGCAAATTTAAACCTGAACATACTGATACCTCTCTCCTGCATCCCAGTAGCTTCATTTTGCTATAAAGCTATAAAAACTCAGCATTTGGATTTCCTAGTAATACAACAATAACAATTATAATAAAAACAAAACTTATTACATATTAATTGAGCAAAAACTATTTATTTCAGGAACACTGCATTAGCCATGAGATTTTGAAGAGAGTGAGCCCTTTAGAGGCTGAACTTCTTAAAGAACCCACTATTCAGTATAAAGTTCGATTCAGGTAACATTACACTGCATTTGGATTTTAAGATGTAATTATTTTGGTTGTCTTTTTTACTTTAGACTTCAATGGAATATTTAAGACAGTTGCAAAATACATCCTTTAAATGCAAATGAAATGAAAATGGTTGAATATGAAAAATAAGCTGTTCTATCATCTTACCTCTTGTTTTTCCTCCCTTCAGATTTGCTGGGACTGTTTTCCCCCCTTTTATTGTGTTCAAGATATTTTTCACTCCAGGAAACCAAGGCAACCAGTACATGAGTGGGAAAACAGTAATAACATCAACAACCAAGGTGATTTACTGGCAGTTTATCTTGGTTATGTAGTGAGCTGGTATTGTCACTCTTCTCAACCCAGTGCTTTTGGACTCAGCCGAATGAAGTGTTGTAGCTGAAAGGATGGCGGACACGCTGGCAAAGCTGTTATTTGTTTAGTACAGGGGGGTTTTTTATCACATAATAGTCACACTCCCCTTTTTGGTCAAAAAAAGGGATAAAAATGTGACCAATACACAATGAAATACAGTATACCCAGTACTATAGTTCTTCCATCTTCTAAGCAGGTGGAGTCTTACATCCCATGGTTTAGTTACAACGGTATGCTCCTCCATTGCTCATAGTATGAATTATACTTCTTCAAGAATCTGCATATGCAAAAGCTATAATACAGGAGAATATTAGTATATTTGTCCTTAGATTGTTCAATTTTAGACTAACAGGTTTAGTTACATTGGTTGCACAATCCTTTACATCTTTATTCATAAGTAAGTCCTACTGAGTTCATTAGAGTTCACTCCCCAGTAAGTGTGTTTAGGATGTATATGTTTTATACATAAGTGTATGTGTCCTAAATACTTTATTTATTTATTTATTTATTTACTTTGCTTATATACCGCTGTTCTCAGCCCAGGGGCGACTCACAGCGGTGTACAACATAGGAACAACAAAATTCAAGACATAGTATAAAAACAATTTTGGCCCCAGAGTGGCCGTTGGTGCTGGGGGAGGGGTGCTGATGTCACAGGGGACAAGATGGCAACGTCCTCCTGGCTCCCCTTCTTCACTCTGGCCCCAGAGTGGCCGTTGGTGCGGGGGGAGGGGCGCTGATGTCACAGGGGACAAGATGGCAACATCCTCCTGGCTCCCCTTCTTCACTCTGGCCCAAGCAATATATTTATATATTTTATTTATAATCTTAACACTAGTTATAATAATGTTTGTTTAACATTAGAGGCCATTTTCTTTTATAAGCTAGTGATCATCTTTATTTTTACCCAGCACCTGCAATTTTGGTTGTATATTTTATGTGTTCTGTTTTGCACTGCTGTTGCTTTGTTAGCCACCCCGATTCCCCTCGGGGAGATGTTGTGGGATATAAATAAAGTTGTTGTTGTTGTTGTTGTTGTTATTATTATTATTATTATTACTATTATTACACCAGCTGACATTTCAACCATTTCCCTCAGGGCCCAACATTCTAAAAGGGACTTTTGTCATTGATTGCATAATTATTGCTTAGCCAACTGGACGTAAGATATTTCCAATCAATATATGGCCACCTTATAATCCTGCCCACCAGAATTCTGAACATTTATTCTACTATGATTGAGTATCCCTTATCTAAAAATCCAAAATCCTCCAAGCTCTGGAATTGTCCACATGGGTGGCTAAGATAGTGACACCTCTGCTTTCTGATGGTAAAAGGCATACCTTATTTGTTTTATACACAAAATCATTAAACGTATTGTATATAAAATTACCTTCAGAGCAATGTGTATAAAGTGTATATGAAATATAAATAAATTTGATGTTTGGACTAGTGTCCTATCTCTAAAATATCTCATTAAGTATGTATATGTTGATTACAGGAATTCCAAAATCTGAAAAAAGCTCCAAACCATGCCCAAGCATTTTGGATAAGGGAGAACTCAGCCATTATTAAAACCTTCCATTTAAATCAAGCTTTGCAATAGTCAAATAGTATAACAGGATTTTCTTCTTTCTTCTCCTTTCTTGCAACTCCCCACTCTGCCCAAAAATGTGATTCAGAAATATTCCAGAGCTGATTGGGGGCAGTTTCACACAGACCTATAACCCAGGAGCAATTGGGTTTGTTAAACATGATTGCACATGGGTTAAACACATCCCCCTTCTGGGAGGACAGAAAAACACTCAACCCCCCTCCCTGGAAAATGCAAGGGAGCTGTGCGGACAGTCCTCTCAGAAGTCCCAGAACTTATGAGGGGGCAGCCCAGACAGCAGCCCTACTGTATTTAACCTGGGTCTTTCAGGAGGGCCCAGGTCTTTCCAGTATCAAATTAATTTGGCACAAAGCAGGCTTTTCTGCTTTAGGTCAAATGCTTTTTCTTTTACATGGGGTGTTGTTTGGATGTCCCATGTAAACAACACGGGAGCTGGCATTTTTATGGGTTGTCTGGATTAGCCTTTGCTGATGTATAGGAATTGTAGGTGGAAAAGGAATAATTTCCATTCTGGTCCTTCTGATAAAGGTGCTTTGGTCAGCTGAATCCAACTCTTTAACAGATTAAACAACTCTTACACATTAGTACACATTGAAACAAACTCGACCTTCGGTTTGTTTGCCACTGTTGTGTCTCATTTTGAGATATAGGTGGGGTATAAATAAATAAAGTTAATAAATAAAGCTATAGTGCAACCTTGGGGAATTGTTTTTAGTTTTTAGTTTACAAACACAGCCTTAAGCAGTTGAAATGTTCAGACCAGAACTGGCCAGCCATAATGGCTACAGGTGATACTAACTGGCACATTCTGGAAGTCAATAATCCAAAAAATTAAACTCTCCTAGCACTTTTTACTGGTCTGTTCTGTAGAGAAATGCCCAAGTAAATTACCCAATATTTTAAAAATAAGGGTTTTCCCCCACATGCTCATGAGAGGGTTTTTAAAGTTGTTTTCTTCCTCACACTTCTACCTGAGAACTCAAAAATGCAATTTGAAACTCTGTTGAGCTGAAGTAATTGGTCTCTGTATTTTTAAATGTTTCTGCTTCTGTAGAGAGCTGTGATAAGAAAAAGTGTGGGAATTCTCCCAGTTGCAGTTTTTCTTTTGATAGATGTCGCTCTGCCTCTTCAAAATGTTTTTTTTAATTATTTTTTTTAATATGACTACTATTATTAGCTGCAAAAATCAGAAACAGCATAGCAGTGCTGACCAAGCAGAAATTTGTTTATGATTGAAGTGGCTCTGAGAAAGAAATGCTGTCTCTGGAATGCAGCCTGATGAATTAATTATCTATTTTCCATCCAAACAGCAGATTTATTTATTTATTTTATTTATTTATTTATTTAGTACACTTGTATACCGCTAATATCTCAGCCTAAAACGGCGACTCATTGCGGTTTACAATATTAAAAACAACAATATTCCGATAAAAATATAAAACACATACATATACAATACACAGTATTGGGCCACCAATACAGACCAATGCATCTCTTAACTTAAATCATAATCCAATTTCGTTGTCTGTAATTACCAGTCCTTGATCAAAACTTCATCGCATCGGATTAGCCGAATGCTTGCTCAAACATCCATGTTTTCAGTTTTTTTCGAAATGCCATCAGCGAGGAGGCTGATCTTATCTCTATAGGGAGGGCATTCCAAAGCCGTGGGGCCACCACAGAAAAGGCCCTGTCTCTCGTTCCCGCCAGCCGCACCTGTGAAGCAGGCGGGATAGAGAGCAGGGCCTCCCCAGAAGATCTTAGGGTCCTGGTGGGCTGATAGGCCGAGATCGTTCGGATAGGTAAGTTGGGCCAGAACCGTTTAGGGCTTTAAAGGCCAACGCCAGCACTTTGAATTGGGTCCGGTAGCTAATCGGCAGCCAGTGGAGCTGGTACAGCAGAGGAGTTGTATGCTCCCTGCGCCCTACAGATGTGTAGATTCATTTCAGTCCTTATTGGCTCACTGTCATTGGTAGTTTTTGCATTGTACTTTTTTCTGTTAAACCAAAACTCATGTGTTTACCAGGTATTTTTTTATTCTGAAGGATGAAGTATGTGCCTTCAATTGCTCTTTAAATGTCATTTGTATTTGTTTGTTATTCATATTTCTTGCCCATCATATATACATTATCTTCTAAAACACAAGATAATGTGTAATACATGATGCACACATTCTGTCTAGAGAATGCATTCACACACTTTTTGAGAGAATACCACATGAATTAGGTTTAAGGATGTTTGACCTCATGAAGATTTTCCATTTTTTGCATCTTGCATTAGTTTTGTGGTAGAAGAAAGCAACATAGACACCTTTCAAGTACTGAATATGGTAGCTTGCAAATAATTATCCATACTTTGCTTTAGAGAATGCATCTTCAAATACTACCAGCATTTTTAGATTTAAAATGGATACAGGGTTTTCTTTACTGTGATCTTAAAGTCATAAAGTTAAAAGGGGAAAGAATTTCAGAACGCTAGTCTGGAGTTCCAGTGAAACTGAGACTATTTTGCTCTATTTTTTTCCTAATTTTTAATAGGCAGCTGTTGATGCTTGCAAGCTAATGGGATATCGGAAGTATTACAATCAGATGCTGTGGGATGAGCTGCAGTACAAGAAATATGGAATAATGGATGAGATTGATATTGCTACAATAAGAGACTATGTTCAAGTAAGCATCACTTACATAGTTTTCGCATTCCTTGTGGGATCAGGTAATGAAAAAAAGCAGGTCAGATCAGTTTTATTTTCTAAAAAGATAAGTCATTACAACATAAATTATGAAGACATGTAGACGTCAAGGGGAGATGGAAGGAATAGATGAATCTGAGATCTGCTCTCAATCTCAAATCAGGGAAGGGTTCAAAAGAAGATGAAACTTATGAACAGGCCCAAAGCCAGATTAAACTCATAGTGCTAAAGAGCTAGACTTCAGCAATTACAATGTGCTGAAAATGTTTTCAGGATTCAGTTAAATGCATAAACTCAATTAACATGTCCTACAGAAAAGATTATTGCAGAAGTAAGCATTTACAGAGCAGTCCTATGCATATTTACTATACATTAATTTTCACTCAATTGAAGGGGTTTACTCATCAGTAAATGAATATAGAATTCTCCCTTTATTAATTAACTATGGCTGAAAAAACAAAAACATTGTAGTGAGAGCTCCTTTACAGATCCTTATAATAGATGACGAATGTTTACACCAAAACCAGTTAAGGAATTTTGGATAACCAAATTCTGATAAACATTTTTTTCTTCTATGACTCTCTAGTATATTGGCCGCCTGGATGAAACCCCAGCAAACTTTGGGGGTAGGCATAACTATTGGAGAAAACTGTCATTAGAACATTTTCCTAGGACAATGATCATGTATGACATTATGGACTATGCACAGTCTGGGAAGCTGTCTGATAGACTAAGGCAAGAGCTGCCTTTTCTGCTGTTGAGGCCACAGAATGAAGAAGCATCTCGTGCTCAGTTCCTGGCCGTTTGTCAAATCAGGTAAAATGTATCAGTGGTTATCTTTGCTTTGCAATATCTATTCTTCTACTCATGCATTTAAAAATATTTTTAACATAAAAAGGAAGTCTATAAAATTACAGTTTCCATATATTTGTAGCCAAGCAAGCACCGGTTTTGAATAGGCCAGTAGAAAACATCAGCCTGGATCAAATGGAGCCATTCTTAATTCATCTACAAAATGGAGTAATCCCTTCCAATTTTGGAGCCGACAGTGGTATATGGTATATTTATTTAGACATTTTTCTGTACCTTGCCATGGATTTGAAATCCACTGTCCTCTGTATGCTTTATCCTCCATTTCTGGGAAAGTAGTCCAGGTGTTTTGGATTTCAACTCCCATAATTCCTAACAGCCGGTAGGCTTGTAGAAATTGTGGGAGTTGAAGTCCAAAACACCTGGAGGGCCAAAGTTTGCATTAGCCTAATCCTACTATTGTCAAAATACCAGTGACCCATCTTTCCATGCTGGATGAGAACTGGAATGTGTGGAGAAGAATAAAAACATTGTAGTGAGGACCACCTTTACTGGCTTGTGCCAGAGTCTTTGCAGTTCAGTCTTTAAATCCTCATATCGTGTCAGCTTTTCCAGTTGTTTCTCTGCAATCCTGCTGTCACCTGGGATTGCGACATCGACGATCCATACTTTGTTTTTTAACATGATTGTGAGGTCAGGAGTATTATGCTCCAAAACTCTTGTCTGTCTGAATCCGGAAGTCCCAGAGGAGTTTGGCGTGTTCATTTTCTGTAACTTTTTCCAGCTTGTGATCCCACCAGTTCTTTGTCGTAGGCAGATAGTATTTGTTGCACAAATTCCAATGAATCATCTGAGCAACGGTGTTATGCCTCTGCTTGTAGTCTGTCTGCGCGATCTTCTTGCAGCAGCTGAGGATGTGATCTATTGTTTCATCTGCTTCCTTGCAGAGTCTACATTTGGGATCTGTTTTCAACTTTTCAATTCTGGATTTGATGGCATTGGTTCGAATGGCTTGTTCTTGGGCTGCCAGAATCAGGCCCTCCATCTCCTTTTTCAGAGTTCCATTTGTGAGCCACATCCATGTTTTTTCTTTGTCAATTTGGCTCTCAATTTTTCCCAGAAACTGTCCATGGAGTGCCTTCTTTCGCCAGTTTTCTCTTCTGCTCTGGATTGTGTTTTTACGGTATTCACCCTTTTTATTTTGCACTTTAAGCAGTTTACTACTATTGACTTCCCTCAATGTTGGTTCTTGACTGCCTTTCACATAATCTGCCAGTGCATGTTTCTCTTCTTCTACCATTTGTTTCATTTGCAGAAGCCCTCTGCCTCCTGATTTTCTGGACAGGTAAAGTCTGTCAACATCACTACGCGAATGTAATGAGTAGTGGATTGTCCTCAGTTTTCTTGTTTTTCTATCCAGGTCATCCAGCTCTGCTTGTGTCCAGTTCACAATCCCAGCAGTGTATCTACTGATGGGGATGGCCCAGGTGTTGATAGCCTTGATCGTATTTCCGCCATTTAATTTGCTCTTCAATACCTTTCTGCCTCTTTGGATATATTCTTTGCTGTCCCCATTTTTCACTTGCTCATGCTTGATATTGTCCAACTGTAGTATGCCCAGATATTTATAGGCTTCAGGCTGATTGCATTTTATGGTTTATCCGTTTGGCATCTCTATGCCATCGCTGTGTGTAATTTTCCCTTTCTTTAATGCCACTGTGGCACATTTGTTTAGGCCGAACTCCATACTGATGTCAGTACTGAAGATTCTGACTGTTGGTCAGTGACTCGATTTCAGTTTCTGATTTTCCGTAAAGCTTTAGATCATCCATGTACAGTAAGTGGGAAATTTTGGGTGAATTTCTTGCTGGTTGGTAGCCTAGGTTTGTTTTCTGTAGAATCAATGACAGTGGGATCATTGCAGCTTTCGTTGCCAACAAACAACTGAGTTTTCCATTGTTTCATTGCATTTTCAGTGAATTTTCTTCTTCTTCTTCTTCTTCTTCTTTTGTTGTTCATTCGTTCAGTCGTCTCCGACTCTTCGTGACATCATGGACCAGCCCACGCCAGAGCTCCCTGTCGGCCGTTACCACCCCCAGCTCCCTCAAGGTCAGTCCAGTCACTTCAAGGATGCCATCCATCCATCTTGCCCTTGGTCGGCCCCTCTTCCTTTTGCCTTCCACTTTCCCCAAGCATAATTGTCTTCTCTAGGCTTTCCCGTCTCCTCATGATGTGGCCAAAGTACTTCAACTTTGTCTCTAGTATCTTTCCCTCCAGTGAGCAGTCGGGCTTTATTTCCTGGAGGATGGACTGGTTGGATCTTCTCGCAGTCCAAGGCACTCTCAGAACTTTCCTCCAACACCACAGCTCAAAAGCATCGATCTTCATTCGCTCAGCCTTCCCTAAGGTCCAGCTCTCACATCCGTAGGTTACTACAGGGAATACCATGGCTTTGACTAGGCGGATCTTTGTTGCCAGTCTGATGTCTCTACTCTTTACTATTTTATCGAGACTGGACATTGCTCTCCTCCCAAGAAGTAAGCGTCTTCTGATTTCCTGGCTACAGTCTGCATCTGCAGTAATCTTTGCACCTAGAAATACGCGATAATCTATTTTTCCTCGTTTGAGGAGTGAAGGCTGCACAAATCTCACAAGATTGTGAGAGATGCCCCTCACCCAGGCATTCAAGACACAGTGAGTGTCCATCTGTATCTGGAAGAATATTTGGGCAGCTTCTACATTTCTTAAACGCTGTAGTAGCCATAATTTGATAATTCTCTTCAGCCCTATCGTTCAAAAAAAACGGAAAGGTTCCTTTGCTGATCGCTTTTAGCGCGGAAAGAAGAGAACTGAGTAACGGCCACTGCCCCGGGCTATATATAGGGGAGGGGAGGGGGCGCGTGGCCAGAGGGAGTTTAAACGGTCTTTTTACTTTTTAAAAGGTTCCGAACGCTGAGCTGCGCAGGCGCAGAGTTACCATATGTGCGATTCACAGGATTTACGACAGGAAACCCGGCTTTTGCGCTTTCTTCTTTCACCTTGATTAGAAGGCTCCTCAGCTCCTCCTCGCTTTCGGCCATCAGAGTGGTGTCATCTGCATATCTGAGGGTTAATGTTTCTTCCAGCAATTTTCACCCCAGCTTTGCATTCATCCAGCCCCGCACATCGCATGATGTGTTCTGCATACAAGTTAAAAAGGTTGGGTGAGAGGATGCAGCCTTGCCGTACGCCTTTCCCAATCTTGAACCAGTCTGTTGTTCCATGGTCAGTTCTTACTGCTGCTACTTGGTCCTTGTACAGATTCCTCAGGAGAGAGACAAGGTGGCTTGGGATGCCCATCCCACTAAGAACTTGCCACAATTTATTATGATCCACACAGTCAAAGGCTTTAGAATAGTCAATGAAGCAGAAGTAGATGTTTTTCTGAAACTCCCTGCCTTTCTCTATTATCCAGCGGATATTGGCAATTTGGTCTCTCGTTCCTCTGCCTTTTCTAAACCCAGCTTGAACATCTGGCAACTCTCGCTCCATGTATTGCTGGAGTCTTCCTTGCAGGATCTTGAGCATTACCTTACTGGCATGAGAAATAAGGGCCACTGTACGGAAGTTTGAGCAGTCTTTCGCATTTCCCTTCTTTGGTATGGGGATATAAGTTGATTTTTTCCAGTCTGATGGCCATTCTTGTGTTTTCCATATTTCCTGGCATATGGCATGCATCACCTTGACAGCATCATCTTTTAAGATTTTAAACAGTTCAGCTGGGATCCCGTCATCTCCTGCTGCCTTGTTGTTAGCAATGCTTCTTAAGGCCCATTCAACCTCACTCCTCAGGATGTCTGGTTCTAATTCATTCACCACACCGTCAAAACTATCTTCTTCTTCTTCTTCTTCTTCTTCTTTTATTATTATTATTATTATACATTCAGTCTTATTTTGAGAGTGAATCTAAAATAGCAAATCACATGGCTGCAGGATCTTGTGTAATTTTTAGACCTGTTAGCTGACACATTAACATTATTTTAAGTGTTTCGCACCTTTTCTGTGTTCTTTGTTTCTTCAGACTAAGAGACGGACTAAGGGAGGAGTCCTTTCAATGTTTCTCTGCACTGCTATTTTTTCTTCTACTAAAGCATCTTTTACTTCCTATTGTTATTCAGATAGAAGTGTATACAAGAGAGACAGAAATTATTTGCAGAGGTAGTGTGTGTCTCTAAATGGTGTTATTTGCATGAAACCAAAAACAATACTCACAAGTTATTACAAAGCATTATTGGAAAACTAAATGGGAAGGCTTTTCTGGGAAAAGGACTGATGAAACCAGCAAAACATTTAACAGATAGTCCTAGAATTATACTGTGGCAGCTATACTCATTCTGTATAGGTGCCGCAGTCTAATTCTGTGACTATCTGTTAAATATTTTGCTGGATTTTTTTACAATTTTTACCAGCTGGACTAAAAGAATACCTGGATATTTAAAGTGTTTGGTTTATAAAAAAGGATATTCAGCTTTTGTGCATGTATGCATGCATAACTTGAGCCTCATCTATCCATTTTGTTGTTGTTGTCAGACAATTTCATACTGTTGTCTAAAAGCTATTCTTTTAATGGAATGCCAAGCATTTTTCTTTTCTTGAAAATCATTGTTTCATTACTGTAAGGCAGAAATGCAGAAACATGTGTTTTCCATTTGTTGTTAGACTGGAACTCCCATCATAGCTGTACTAGCTAGTGCTGATGGGACTTGCTGTCCAAAATCATCTGGGAGATCACATGTACTCCACCCATGTCAGTAGATACTTGCAGTGACTTGAGTATGTTCATGATGTGACAAGTGTGCTTTCACAGTGCTTTGTTTTCACTGATTCTCATGTTGCAACCATGTAGTGAAAAATGTATTCATTTAATAGAGATAGCATAATCTTTTAACTAAAAATAACCATGTTGACCTGCCTTTGCAAGACTTGTCTTGAACCATTAGGATTAATATTGTCTTTCAGTGTATTTCTCATAACATTAAGACTGAAAGTGCAGTGATAAAGCAGAAATTAAAGCAGTGGTGTCCACATTTCCATGTAAAGATTGTTGAAGGTTATTCAAATTTAAGAAACAAAACATGCATTCTTTTCTAGCTCCCCCGTACCATGTCCCACAACTGCCTGTCTTTCAAAAAGAGACCGCATGTCACTCCGTAGAATTTCTGAACGTCGTTCATATCAGGCTCGGCAGAAGGTTTCAAAAATGAGGAAAGTCTACAGGACCAAGAAAGGGGAGGTGAGTGTGTGCAAAGAAGAGGAAATGTTATAAGTACTCATCCTTCTCACCAGCTAGGATTCTACCAGTGTTTTCTTCCTTGAAAATGTATATTTTGTTGTTAGGATATTCTGAGATCTTTCAGACATTATAACAGTGGCAGCATTTTGTTCTACATATCAGAAAAGTTAAAATTTGTATTCCTGATTTTGCAAATTATTTTTTAAGTAGATTATCTGAGACAATGGATAATGCCATCCATTTAGGATGACTTAGAGAGTAATAGAGCAGTTATACAGCCTTATATATCCTTATGGGAGGGACAGAGGTTCTGAGGGTCATAGCAGAACTAGCATCTGAATTCAAAGACGTATCTATCAGATCATGCATTCACAAAATAAAGATTGTTTTTTAGGGAATGGAGATTACAGAAGAGTCTCTACAGCTTGAGAAATGGTTTAATTAAACCAGTGCAATTGTATATTCATTTTAGACTGCTGAATTTGCACTGACACACCCTTATCAGTGGCAAAAACAAGGATTTTAATTGGGAGACATGAGACTAATAATTTCAAAACTGTAATTCCTTATTTGAGTAATATTGCCTTTTGTTATTCAGGAGGAGGAGTTAGATCACCCATCTTCAAGTTATCATTTAAGAAGTCTTCATTCACCGACTGATAACGAAAGCCTCTTTTCAGATGAAGATTGGGAGCAAGAGGCCGTGAGACTCTATGACTGGGCCAGATCACTACGGAGTGAAGATATTGGAGAAGACTAACTCACGAGAAATCTGTCTGCTTTTTATAAAACAGATAAAAGTTGTTCTCTATAGCTAGGAATTTGCCATGCAAACAGAGCGTTGGCAGACCATGAACGTAATTTGAACAACCCCTCTCTAAATTTAAGAAATTCATAATAAACCACCAGAAACAGCAAAGAGTTCTGTCATTTTGCAAACAATAACACATTCGTTATAGTTGTTTTTGTCAAATACATGCAGGTGGATTACATACACAATAGTCCATGCTACTGAATCCAGACGAGGTTCTCCTGGTCAGCCACAAGGCCAAACTGGGTACAGGGTTACAGCTTGTGTTGGATGGGGTTGCATTCCCCCTGAAGACAGGTTCACAGCTTGGGAGTGATCCTGAATTCATCACTGAACCTGGAGACCCAGGTCTCTGTGGTAGCCAGGGGAGCTTTTGCAAAATTAATATTTGTGCGCCATTAGCACCCATACCTTGGAAAGTCAGACTTGGCCACAGTGGTCCATGCTCTAGTAACATCCTAAATTGACTACTGCAATGTGCTCTACATGGGCTTGCCTTTGAAGACTGGAAGCTTCAAATGGTCCAGCGGGTCCCAGCCAGATTGCTCACTGGAGCGGTGTACAGGGAGCGTACAACTCTTCTGTTACATCAGCTCCGCTGGCTGCCAGTCTGCTACCAAGTACAATTCAAAGTGCTAGCTTTAGCCCATAAAGCCCTCAACAGTTGTGGCCCAGCTTACCTGTCAGAACGTATCTATGAACCATCTCAGAGGTTAAGATAGTTTGGGGAGGCCCTGCTCTCAATCCCACCTCCTTTGCAGGTGTGGTTGGTGGGGACGAGGGACAGGGTTTTCTCAGTAGTGGCACCTTGGCTGTGGAACTCCCTCCCCAATCAGCTCCTTCTCTCCTAGCCTTCAGAAAGAAAGTTAAAACATAGCTATGGGACCAAGCTTTCAGAGAGTAACTGCAGTGCAATAAATTAATGTGAAATCTCTGATGACAACTGGAATGGCTTTGGACTATGATCTGGGATGACATGATTTTAATAATGGATGTAATTGTTTGGTATTATTAATTTTGATGTTTTTAATGAAAATGTTTATTTAATTGTATGTTTTTATGGTACTGAATTATTGCCAATGTGTAAAGCCGCTCTGAGTCCCCCTCAGGGTTGAGTAGGGCAGGGTACAGATGTCGTAAATAAATAAATTTGTTTAAGTGCCACAGCACTCAACTGTTTTTGCTGAAGCAACCTGACATCCCTTTCTAAATAATGAAGACGATTATTGTGAACAAAATTAATTTAGTAAGAATAAAGAGAAACAAAAGCAGAAGCTAGAGTCAGGGCTATCCAAAATTTTGAAATCACTACAAAGAACAAGAAGATGAACATAAAGATTAAAAATATTTTATTTACATTTTACTTTATATACAATTTTACATCCTTTCTTTTAAAAACAATAGAATTCATAACACATCTGAACATAATGCATTCACAGCATGTATGAAATTAAAGTCTGCAAACCAGTGGAAAGGAAAAATATATCTAGAAAGTGTTTTTTATATATACAGGGTTAGTCAAAATGAATAGGCCAATAAGAAAATTAATTTTAGACGAATGTATGTTTACTGTAACCAAACCACAGCTACGTAGCGACAGATAAACTATCAAAGTTTTTTTTGAGCAACACACATGTACGTTAATGCCGCTAGGCGTCGCTAGGGGTCGCTGTTTTCAAAATGGCGGAATCAAGCAAAGAGAAGGCGTTTTGTGTGATGACATTTGCTAAAACAATGTCAGTAATTACGGTCCAGCGAGAATTTCAAGGGTTAGGGTTAGGGTTAGGGTTAGGGTTAGGGATAGGGTTAGGGTTAGGGTTAGGGTTAGGGATAGGTTAGGGTTAGGACCTCAACGAACACCTTCCCAGACGTTGCTGCATTCGATGCCATTACGTCGGATGTGCTGCAACGGATGTGGAATGAACTGGACTATCGCTTGGACATCTGCCGTGTCACACGGGGCGCCCATATCGAACATCTCTGAAGGTGAGACAAAACTTTGATAGTTTATCTGTCGCTACGTAGCTGTAGTTTGGTTACAATAAACATACATTCGTATAAAATTAATTTTCTTATTGGCCTATTCATTTTGACTAACCCTGTATAAAGAAAGACAGGTTTATAGCAGCTCTGGAAAAGTTACTAGAAAAATCTCCTGGTGGTGCATTTTGGAGCCTGTGTTTATGTTTAAACAAAATACTTGAGTTTCTACAGTACATATAGGGGTTTGTTTTTTTCAAATTAAGCTGTCACTATGTATGAAATATCTGCCACTGCATCCACACTGCAAAGCAACACTGGATTATACAGATTTAACTCTTTCTGTCACTGCTGTTTCCAATAATATTTTTACTATTATTTCTTCCAGACATTCAATGGTTTCTAAGATTGACTGTTGAAGAAACCCAGCAAAGAATATTATTCCAGTTGTAGTTATTTTTCTTCTTTGACTCTTTTCAATACTACCAGAACAAAAAGCTGATAAGACACAACAAAATAACAAAACAGGATTTTTCCCAGTCTGATATTTTAAACATTCAATTACTTTGACTTTACTCACTTGTATATTGGCTAACAGTTTATCCCACACATGAGCAATCTTTTGGAACCACCTGTTGCTCTGTGCAGAATGAAGAGGAGCCATTCCTGGAAAGAAAACTATTAAGAAAATAGTATTTTTTTCACTTAATAACTAGCAGTGGCAGAATTCTGTAATGTTAAGTATTAAATCTGTGCTCCAACACAAGTGGTTATTAAATTGCTATTTTTCTAGCAGTGACTAAACTCGCTTAAGAAATGCTAATATTGAATGAATGTGGTTACTTTTTTCTGGTGTAGGTGTTTGCAAGCTTTTATAATTTTCAACTTGTCTAAGGCAGAGATAAGCCACTCCCAGCACAACAAGTGATGCAACTCCACTTGCAGTTTTGATTTTCCATTTAAAAAAAAAATATCTCATTTTCTAGGGTTGGGAGGAAGGGGATCTTAGACTGGCTGCCCTTTCTATATCTCTGGTCTGGGGAAAATAAACAATCAAGCTGCATCAATGTGAGAAGTTGAAGATAATCTTTTTAAAGTCTTCTTAGACTACAGAGATAACTGGAAAACCTTTTCAGTGTAAATGACTGACTTCTACCACTAAAAATCAAGTTTCAGCTTTTCTGTTAGTATAAAGAATATAGAAACATTGTCCAGGTTCAAAACATCAAGTTCTTCGGGGACCCCAAGATCTTTAGTGGAATATGAGCAGCACCGTTTAGCTAGAAAACTGAACCTTTCTATCAAGGTAGAACATGTTCCTCTATAACTACTGAACTCTACATATAGCCATCACTAATGAACTAGTGGTCTTGCGATACAGTGGAGATCAAACAGTTATTAAATCTGGATTGTGGTTACTGTCCCTATTGAAGCTTGTAGTTTGACAATTTATTTTGGCACTACTTAAGAATCCCAGCTGACATCACAGTTCAAATGTAAACCACTGGACTCATCATCCATCTACCTGAGTACTGCTCCTATTGACTGCAGCAGCTATTTAGGATTTTAACTTTTCCAGTTGAACCAGGAAAGGCCAAAGATGGAACTTGGAAACAGTACCTACACCATGTCATAACCACTAAAACTATGAACGCACTTCTGACAAATTTCAATGTTAGCTTTTTAGTTGAGTAAATTATCCTGGCCTAATCATCCAAACTGATGGAAATGTCATCCATGCTCTGATCCTTGGCAGAATGAACCTTCTACGCATGCAAATAATGCCTGGCACTTTAGGTGCCATGAAGTTTACAATCGCGGCAAGAGTGTCACAGTTATGACTAAGTAGTAGTTGTGAATACATAACCATTACAGACAAGTATATCTAGGTAACTGTTCTGCAATCATGACACTACTGGCATGATTGTAAACATACTGACCCACATTTACAGTGTGAGGCATTACCTGCATGAGAAGGATGTTCATTTGCTGATAACAGGAGCACAGATGAATGACACTTCTGCCTGGTTAGGAGGGTCAGGCCAAGAGGATACTTTGCTAAATATACTTGACTGAAGATGTGTCTACACTGTAGATTTAATGCTGTTTGACACTAACTGCCATAGTTCAATGTTATAGCATTCCGAGATGTGTAGTTTGGTGAGGGAGAAGCACTTTCGCAGAGAAGACAAAAGACCTTCTAAAACTAGAACTCTCATGATTCCAAAGCATTAAGCCATAGCATTTTAATGTAATGTCAAACAGCATTAATTCTACTGTGTAGATATATCCTAAGTAGCTGATAGAAGATACTGACATTAGTGCAGAAAAATGACTACCTTGAAGCAGAACGGGTTCTTCCATACCACTCCTCCACACATTTCTCCATTAAGAGCAAGCCTACTTAGGCAATGTAAAGAATTTTTAAGCCAGTGAAATGGTAATTTGAACAACAGGAAATACGCTGTACATCAAGGATAGCAACAATGTTAACAAGTAACAAATATTTGGGCAGATATGAAATAGCTCGTGGTCCCATGCAGAGTGGTTTGAAGTTAAGCTACAGTGAACACGCAGAGTTTGTTTGCATATAAACGTAGGTTGACAGTAGGCTGCCAGTATTAAACGATTATGATAGATTGGGGCACAGGAGTCAGGCAATAATCATAATCACTGAAGTTCCATATAACTGGTGGAAATGCTTTTACGTCTTTTATCATTTCTGTTTCAGTCACCCATACTTAATGATCTGACAGTTTACACCAAATACTTCATTCCTGATAATGCTTTTGTAATACTGAAAGAAGTCCATAAAACCAGAACTTGTAAAATGTTTACGCCTTGCTCCTACTTGTGACTGTAATGCTAAACCAACGATCTGTGTTATATGCTAAACAGGCCTTTTAAGACATATAAAATCGGTACTGTACCTTTAAAGCCCACTATATTTCTATGGCACTCTGTCTGAAATTATACCATGTCATTATAGACCATTATCAAATAAATTATATTTCTCTGGTATGGTGAGCAGAATTTCAAGCAGCCAGTGAAGAATTGTTTGACTGAACTAGTCTTTAAGATTTACTTGGGAACCCGTAACTTCTTAAGTGGCCAAAAGCAGTATCTTGTAAAACTAAAGAGTTAATATCATTGAGACTATCGCAAAAAGAAAAAGCATGTTCCATCAAAGAGACTTGGGCAAATAGTATTTAAATCTCTCGTCCATCTTCTTGTAGTTGTTCAACCATTGAATTGACATATTAAACATTGTTACACAAGCAACACCCTTATTTGTCTATCTTTATCTTTCCTTCCCCTTTTCTCTTTTACATGATTGCCTTGCCTCTCTTTATATGGTTGTACATACGAATGAATGTTCATAGAGTTAAATCAGCAGTGTGATATGTGGGTAGGGTGACTGGAGGGGAGCTGTAGGCAAAGGGAGGAGGTATGGGTGACAATTTCAATGATTAACATGTTTCTGTCATTTAAAAATAATAATTTAAAATTCAGAAAATCAGTGTACAGAGATCCACTATTATATCCGTACAAAATACAATGATACAATAGAATCAGCAGGAATACAAGGACATTTTAGCTTTATTTACTAAAAATTGTCCTCACGCAAACACACACACACATTAATTGGACAAAGAGGGTCCAAGCTTTCAAGTTCCTGATGAAGACCTTTGGAGAACCTGACATGTTGAACACTTGAGACATTTCAGTTGGCCTGAATATTGCTCAGGTGGGGGTTTCCCCTCACTGACCAATGTAATGATTTTAATAAACGGGTTTGCAATTACACAGGAGGTTATCAAGAACGTCATAGTGTCTTCTGATTCTTAGGCATTGTTGAGCTCTAAATATGAAAAAATGGTTAAACAAGCAGGAATTTTCTGTATCATGAACTGGTATGTAGGTCATATACTTTGGCTTCAAATGAGTGTTGTGCTGTGTAAAGCTCCTTCAAAGTGTCAAAATAATGAGGGTATATACTACTTACATGATCCTGTTGTGATAAAGAGTTGTAATAGAATTAATGGAGGATTTTTTTTAGAGCTCAAATGTACAACACAAGGTAGTTATTGCTCGACTGTGCTGCTTTGGACAACAGGCTGAGCAAATGAATGCCTTCTAAACCTTTTTTTTACAAAACCTTGAGCTTGTACCATTAGCATAGTGTGGT